ACTATTCCCCCGCTCCCACCAGAGTTGGAAAGGTTACAAGTGTGGCCACACCACTGCGTTGGCAGCTGGCAGTGTGGACAGACTGCAGCGCTTTTCCCTACTCAGCTGTACGAAGACAGGTTTACCTCACAGCGCTGTACAGCTGCAAGTGTAGCCAAGGCCTCAGTAGATGGCTCTTCCAAGTCAGAACTGACCCCAGCATGGCACTAGGGGGTGCTGTGCCTTGGATGTGATGCAAAACCAAGGGTCTGGTTGAACGAGATTATTAATGGTCCCCGGCACATTTGGTAAGAGTCAGGGTGTTAGGCCCAGTTACGTTTTGAAGTTCTGTTCTGCCTCCCTAAATTCCCCCAGTTGTTCAGTTGGCAGCGGCATTCCTCTCTTCCTGTCCCAAATCATGTACTCAGTGTTGGCGGCCGCTGTTAAAGAGCTGCTGAGTTTCACCCCAGAAGTGGCTGCATTTCAGTGGTAGGTGGTCTGGTCCCCAGATAGGTTGGCTATACATCAGTTTGTTTCATTCCCTGTATAAAGGGCTCGTTGTTAGTGGGCAGTTCAGGACTCGCTAGCATATACGTAGAGCTTCCCGTTGCCGAGCACACGGGAGAGGCTCTCCCTGCGGCTCGGCACTGGACCGGTCCCTGCTTTCCCCTCTCAGACAATGAAAGCACACGGGGTGAGGGACATTGTGTTCAGCAGCTCAGCCACAGTGTACGGAGACCCAGCCTACCTCCCGCTGGACGAGAACCACCCAGTTGGGGGCTGCACCAACCCCTACGGCAAATCCAAGTACTTCATTGAGGAGATGATCCGAGACCTGTGCAAGGCCGAGAAGGTAAGAAGCACCCACTCAGCCCTCGAACCAGGGAGACTAGGAATCCAGTAGGTTGGGCTTCCCCTCAGCTGGGTCCTAAGTCTGAAGTGTCTCCCCAGCATTTGAACCAGATCTCCTCTAGCCTGTGGGGAAGGGGATCAGCCACTCCTGCAGCGCTGCTGAAAGCCCCCCGAAGCCCCAGTCTGCTCATGCAGAGGAGTTAGGGGAGATCGGGGACACACACATATTGGCCCCTTAATGTAGAACCTACAAGGGTGGGAGTCTGTGGAGTTTAGAGGCCAAGGCCCTTGCTTCTTCTGTGGGGAGCAACCTGCATGAGGGATGAATTTTCCATCGAGTGACCCATTCCCATCTACAGGTTTCCCCAGCGGACTAGGAAATCTGGGCCTTCTGTTTCCCACCAGAACTTTCTCAAGGCTTGGGATATGGATGGGAGATGCGTAGACGAACCAGGCAACGTTCACACATCTGTGTTCATATTCCAGGGGTCCTTTGAACAGCGTGGTGGGGAGGGATGGAAGGGGGTGCTGCATGAGCCGTGAGAATCCTAGCGGCTTCCTGGGGCCCTGTTTGCACTTCCCAGGCAGTGTGTGTGACTGGTGCTGTCTCTCTCCCAGGACTGGAATGCCATTCTCCTCCGGTATTTCAATCCCATCGGAGCCCATGAATCAGGGAGAATCGGAGAAGATCCCCAGGGAATCCCCAACAATCTGATGCCCTACGTTGCTCAAGTATGAACTCGCCTTGCAGACTGTCTTTAATTAGTGCTCTGTGTAAGAGCCCCTGTACGTGTTCCCTGTGTGTGTCACATGAGCAGTCTGAACTCACGAGCCCATTCCCTTGTGCAGGTGGCAGTGGGGCGCCGGGAGTACCTGAGCGTGTTTGGGGACAATTATAAGACAGCTGACGGAACAGGTGCGTTACCCAGTGTTTCTGGCTTATCTTAAACCCTGTTACGTTAGATGGTGCCTGTTAAATCCTGCTCCCAGTGGCCCAGGATGACTGAGCTGCCTGGCGCATTCCCGGCAGCTCCATAACTGACCCGGTTTGCATTATTTTCCTGTTTCCTGGCAGGTGTCAGGGATTATATTCATGTCGTGGATCTAGCCAAAGGCCACATCGCTGCTCTGAAGAAACTGAAAGAAAACTGTGGCTGCAAGGTAGGAAATGGCTCTAGTCCGGGTGTTGGGGATTAGCAGAGCCGCGACTCGCCGACGTTAACGTGGGCTCAGCTGAGCCAGCTCCTTCGGCCTGAGCCCCCATTCCAAAGCAGGGGCTGTCGCTCAAGGGGAATTATATACACCCCTAGCGCTGGGTGATTATAAAGGCAAAAGCATTTTGCCCTGCTCCCTAGGGTTACCATTCGTCCGGATTTACCCGGACATGTCCTCCTTTTTGTGTTAAAAATAGCGTCCGGGGGGGAATTTGTAAATCACTCAAAATGTCCGGGATTTCCCCCCATGCAGAGCGAGGCGCAGCTGGGAGGGCTGCAGGAAAGTCAGACGCTCGCATGGGGCTCTAGCAGCCAGAGCCCTTCCCCCGCAGCTTGCCGGGCTGGACTCCGGAGCAGCTGTAGAGCTCCTCCTCCTCCCCCCCCCCCCACATTCTGAGCCGGCCACCCTGCCGGGCCGTTTGCATCGGGCCTCGGCAGCTCCTCCTCCCCTGCAGCCCAGCGCCCCGCTCCGGCAGCACTGTGCAGGGGCAGGACCGGGTTGTGTGTTGCACTGGGGAGTGCAGCCACGT